AAAAAAAAAAAAAAAAAAGATCAGATCATCTGCATGAAATAATGTCATGAATCAAACTGAAAAGTCCAAAATGTGGATGAGATAGATGCTCTTATACAAACCTGGGTTCTTAAATTGATCCGGGCTGTGTAGGTGCTGTAGGGGGGAGTTGCAGGCGGAGGTGGCATGCTCACTGTGCAGCATCTGAGCCGCTTGGGGCCCCAGGGAGCCATAGTCAGCAAAGGAGCAGGGCCCCCCCCTCTGGTCACTGGGCGCAGAGTAAAACCCATAATCGGGGAGGCCTGGGAGATACAGTATAGGGTGGGGAGGGGGAGGGGAGGGGACTCCATCATTGTGGAAATCAACTTTTTCATCGTCAAAGTCAAGTGTCCAGATTGTTGAGCATAGCTTGGTGGTGCGTCACACCGATTTTTTTAGGTTACATCCTCGCATTTTGTCGGCTTTAATTGGCCCTCCCTGCCCTCCCTCCCCAGCGGGCTCCTGCCATGTGGCCAGGCCCCCCTGGCATATGGTCCGTGTTTGAAATGCTCAGCTGCGTCGTATACACTAGCTCTACAATAATGGATACATGCTATCATACTCTCCCTGAAAGGATACAATTAAACCCTCCTCACTTTGCTCTTTTTCTTTACCTCGAATCAACTGGACCAATAACAGTGAACAGAAAACATACAGTAAAGCCACAGCGTTGATGCTTTGGCTTTTGCATAATTGGCCTGTCCCCATGTTTACGTGCAGCTCTTAAGAAGTGAGATAAAACTGAAGAATCATTAAAAAAAAAACAGGTCAATACATTTCTCATTACAAACCAACAATTCTTTGGTTGACGTACCTGAAGGAAGCTTTTGTCATTTAAATGAAAAGAAACACAAAGCGCACCGATCAATAATTAATTTAAAGCCTCTTTTCTGACCAATAAAAACTGATAAGGTTTTTATGTGAATGCGATACAGAGACATTCATGTTTATTGATGATAAGCATTCTCAAGTGTACCAAGTACTCTAAGCACGTCTCAGATTGGCCCCTTCCAATGATTCTTTCTTTGACACAAATGGTGGATTATCAACAGTTTAGAAAATGTCATTCAGCAATAAGTCGTGCTGACATTTATTGCTTGTTCTCTTAATCTGAGACAAGCTGCTCATATAAAGAGTGCAATTAAAAGAAACTGCTCCTTCTCACACCTCTTTGATAAGAGAGTTAATCTACTCAGGAGGGACTGATTGGTGACACCGGCTTTTCCATGCTGGGTTTCCCCTGCTGTGTGTTTGTTTTTTTATTTGGGTCCTGGAGCGAATAGCCATTCAAAGCCACTTCACCTCTACCCATTCAGAGTGAGACAGTCCACTTCTGCCAAATGGAATGTAAGCACCAGCCATGTTTCTCCCCGCCAATGCTTTTTAGCACTCTGATCTCACCACTTGTGGGCTGTCTGCCCACTCATCAAATTATAGGCTCCAAATAGGGCAGGCTTCCCACGTACGTCACATAATGCCTGACACATTGAACAAAGCTCAAGAAGCAATCATTCCATTTACTTCACTTAGACAAATGTCACTGAAAATTGATTGGCCTTGCTAATGAGGAAAACTGGATCAATGGAATAATTATAATGGGGGAAAAACATTTGACAATAGCACAAACCGTGTTATTGGGAATTCACAAGGAAGCCATTCCAAATATATCACTAGTTTAGAACAGTGTCGAGACTGGGAGCACTGAACAGGCATCACTTTCACTGTGTGTGGACTAGTGGACTGTAATTCAGCGCATTTATGCAATGAATCAGAAAACTGACACAAAAAAGAAACTGAAAATGAACCTTGGTGCTATTTATGTCATCTTGGTAAAAGTGAAGCTGCTCGATTATAGGAGGGTGGGTTGATGGATTTGTCTGATTTGCAGGATGAAATAACAATATTATTATTATTTACACAAAACCAGTGGTGGGAAAAGTATTTAGATCAAAGCTACGGTCTAAAATACTCTGTTACATGTACAAAAGTGTCATGAAACCATATCTAAAGCATCTTAAGTACAAGTAATAATTGTGCAAAAGTTTCACAATAATATCTATGATATTGTTGGACAATAATTTTTGATTCATTACCACCTACAGCTAATTTAAATTGTTTTAATACTGCTGGGTAGCTTTATCATAATATTGCTTGATTCATGAGTTGATTGACTCATTATTAAACTATTATAATTCTATATTTATTATAGTTACAGTCCACCACTGGCAAAAATCTACATTTCAACAGGTATTGTTGATATTTCATCCAAACTATTGTTCGCAGCAAACAACTAAAGTAAAAGTAGCTTCACACTTGGAGACAGGAGAGATATTTTCATCTGAGACGAGGTTGTAATTCTAAGTACCTGAGCTGCATTAACCTGGCAGACACAATGTGCTTTTTTCCCCCCAAATCTTGTACCCTGTACCTTTCTGCTCGGCCACAAGTGTAAACTCTTGTGCTCCCAGTGTACGGATCAATTGGTCAAACAGCACATGGAGCTCAAACTGAATGTAAACAAGGCTGGTTTTGCCCCTTGATAAATTCCAATAAAGTTTATTCAAACAAGGCGTCCGTGTCCTCAGCAGTGTTTACAAAACTTTGTTCCAATTCGACTGTGAGGAGAAAAGTAGGAAGAAAAAGTGAAAAAAAGAATATTGAGCTGGAGGACGCAGACACAGTGGTCAGTCTGTTCTGCAATAAAGTTCCGTTTTATTGTAGATCACAACAGACGGCTACAGCCACAACCTGGAAAATACGACACCGTTAATATTGAGAGAAGCTCGCTGCAGTTTCTAAGGGATGTTTTGACAGCAGTAATGTGAAGAACTGCTCAAACTGCAATTTCCAATAACCGGTGTTACAAAAAAATTTGGGCCTGATTCAAAACTAAACAAGTAATTTGGGTTTGAATCAGGCTGAATCCATACAGTGTGTGCCTGGTTTCCAAATCTCATAAAACGTCATTCAAAATAAAACCCAGTTTCCAAAGACAATGAACACCAAGCTAATTTAAATCTATCAGCTACAACACATCTGGCAGATGTTGGTGCATGGCGACATGCATTCCAAAAAATATGCTCCATTAAAGTGTTGCTGCTACAGCGGTGATGCCGAGAGATCGTCCTACGTTTCATTTGACATTTGTCCAGGTGATAAAATTTGAGAACCTGTCATCGTGCATGCAGTCGCACCGTCTGCAGGTGTTCTGGGCTCAGGTAAGGAACCGGCTTTGTTTGCCACGTACAGGCAGCTGGACCAGAGTACGACTCAGACACAAACATGCAGCCACACATTCTCAAAGCCATATATTTTCATCAGTGGCTATCTGATCTGTTATGCAGGATGAGACTGGGCAGAGTGTGCCCACAGCTGCATTAGTATCACCGATCATATCACTGTGCCTCAGACCGTCCCACTATTAATATTCACACAATCTATCCAGAACAATGGGCCTTTCTTGGACTCCTTTTTTCCACTGGCCACTAATTGGATGTAATTACTCATCTACAAAACAAATGAGTGTGTTGAGGTTGCCTTGGAGACTAGATCAGGGGACCCAGCAGTGCGAATCGTTCGCAGGGCTTCATTTATACTGATAATTATCTCCTCTGCCCCCACCCTCTTTCTCTTCTGCCCTCGGTGACCAACGCCGGCTGTGAGGCGATGGAGAGGGGAGTGTCTTGGAGTCATCTGTTATTGACATCATCGGGGTGGGTCTCTTTAAGTGGATAAATGCCCTGTTCTCGTTCCCACTTTGCCAGGTGACTGCCTTTAAGGAGGAATCACAAACCCTGAAAGTAGGAGTTCGCTTTTTCTCACTAGTTGGAAAATAAAAGAAGTCACACTGATGATAAAATATGGCCTCCTGGGACTTCAGGATGTGAAAAATATTTTCACAACTTAGCCAGTGGTGTGTACCAACGTATTATTCTTGGTTTAAATTCCACCGAGACTGAAACTGCACTAGCGCGTGCTTATTTTTAAAGGCACAAATTGTGATTCTAAATTTAACCAACGACAAGTATTAAAATTAAAAACACTTTGCCAGAGCCTTTAAATACTCTGACAAATCTCTTAACACAACAAGCGCTTTTGAAGGGTTTGCTAAATTCACCTGAAAGCCCTGTAATTTGAATTCTGATCACTAACAAAATATTGGTTTTTCATCTATAAATATATTTGCATGAACATGACTATACCTTTTATTTATGCAGTTAACAAACGCTGGGAATTGGGGACCGTAAAAATCTATCAGCACAAGTTATTTTAATTCCTGCAAATAGGGATTTTTTCGTGCAGCCACTCCTCCCTTTCCCTTGCGGCGCCACTGAGATTCCTTGGTGGCCATCAAACCACATCACTCTACAGAAGATGTCAATAAACCTGACATGCTGCTTCTCAAATTAGCTTTGAATTTTTGAGCTACCATAATTAGCTTTTCCATTTTCACCAATGTCATTTAAAAATAGCGTGAAAGAAACTAACAGCTCTTTTGCTGTCTAGCCTTGCTTTCACTTTCCATTTGAAATAATCTTTTCTGAATGAACGGCTGAGTAATTAACAGCACTAGACACCCTTTTCAGAGAGCACAGACATTTCATAAATAATACATATTTAATGTCTTGTCATTTTGTGTTCAGAGAAGCTTGGCTAATGAATTTTAACAGATGATTTCTTCTTGCATTTACTCACCCATACTCAAGCCTCTGTTTTCTTTACTTTTCATTTTATGCCTGCTTTTCCCCTTTCTTGCCGTTCTCTGCGGTAATGGACAAACTCAACAGAGCTACTGATTTATATTTACCTTGAGCCTTGGTTGGGGAATGATTGTGGAAAGTTACAGAAGGGGGAAGAGGGAATGTGAACACTGAATCATGGCTAAAACAACGTGCAACAGTGTAGTAAATCAGTTCACACTAATTTGCTGCAGGGAAGCCCACACAGGCCACACTAAATGATTTTAATGCAGATTTTAACCTGTGAGGGATCTGGTCTAGTTGGGACTGAGAAAGGGCACTCAGTTATCGACAGTCGGCACAGATTATCCTATCGTGAGCAGGCTCAGAGCTGACAGCCCTGGCCTTTTGGCTGAACACATTTTTTCAAACATGTCTGGTCAGGCTTAAGTGGTCTGAAGAAATCTAAGACTCACTATGAGTGAAATGTGAGATTGATACTGGCTACATCTAATGGTCATTTAGATACAGAGGGTGGAATATGTGAATTAAGTGTGAGAGGAATTATGTCTTACAGCAAAGTT